AACTTTATCATTGCAGTTTTATCATAGGATGCATTAAAAATTGGTAAGCATTTCTTTCCCTTATTTCCATAATAATATGTTGACCTGGCAGTCTGTATAAAGAAACATGTGCTAAAGATTACAAATTTGGCAGAGAAGGGAATAGAGGGGTAGAAAAGAGTAAAAGAAATATGTCAAATTCTGAATACCAGTGCCTCATTTCTTTTTTTTTTAATTGAAGTATAGTTGATTTACAATGTTGTGTTAGTTTCTAGTGTACAGCAAAGTGATTCATATATATTTTGGGGGGGATGGGAGAGACTTTTACTACATTCACCAAGTTAAAGGACAAGAACATACTGTAAACACAACTTAAAACAATTTAGAATCATAAGCAAAAAGTGAGGTAGACTGACTACTAAAATTCACCAAATTTTGGTTAAGAAAATTTTACAATAATGAAGTAACACGGGTGCCTCCTTTTCTAAAAAATCACAAAAAGCAATTGCATAAATTACAGCCAAAAAAATGAATACAATTCTCATTGTAATTTTACTGTGTGTATGTGTGTGTGTGTGTGTGTGTGTGTGTGTATGTATGTGTGTATGTGTATGTGTGTATTCCTTTTCAGATTCTTTTCCCTTATAGGTTATTACAAAATATTGAGTATAGTTCCCTGTGCTACATAGTAGGTCCGTGTTGGTTATCTATTTTATATATAGTAATGTGTATCTGCTAATCCCAAACTCCTAATTTATCCCCCTCTCCTTCCCCTTTAGTAACCATAAGTTTGTTTTCTATGTCTGTGAGTCTATTTTAATTTTGTAAATAAATTCATTTGTATCATTTTTTAGATTCCACATATAAGTGATATCATATGCTATTTGTCTTTCTCTGAGTTACTTCACTTAGTCTGATAATCTCTAGGTCCACCCATGTTGCTGCAAATCCAGTGCCTCATTTCTTAATCTGAATTGTAATTAAATCTCATTTTAGTATGAAGACTGTGTCATGGCTATCAGCCCTCTAGTTTTCAAAAGAGGTAAATTTACATGGAATAAAAAAGTTCCTCCCCTAGAAGCACTGATGGAGTATTTGAAAAACACATGAACTTTCATCAAAAGTTATTGACATGGTACTGGTTATGCAATCCAATCACTGTACATTGAAGAACTACACACTTTTTAAGTACCAAAAAAGATAGTATCTTAAAGTATAAAATAATCTAAAAAGATAATGTAAATCTTATTAAAGTAAGTTAATTCTGTAGTGATCTTCAGATACTATATAGGCAGAATCCTATTGAGTAAAGAATAACTTTGAAGGAGGCTTGTGAGGTTGGCCCTGTCATCCTCTCTAAGTAAGATATACGTACATTTCTAAAAGTGTAATTGTATAAGACAGTCACACTTGGGCCATAGGTTTTGCTTTTTAAGCTTTTTAGTTCTTTTGCCACAATACTTTCCATTGCCACTTCATTTTACTTCTCATTAGTGCTAGGTTAATTCATCAAGAGACTGAGATGTCATCATAGTGATGGACGGACCAAAAGCATACAGGTTCCATGAAGCGCCTCACATTTCCTAAGGTTTTGTTGTACTGACATTTCAGGATGCATTGGGCCTTAAGAACTGATGAGAGTAATCACAACATTTTAAAGCCCTACCTTCAGGTCTGATTATTGGAGCACACTGACTAGATTAATGTTCAACAGTGGCAGTCCTGTGGATTCACATAGGGAGTTCGGAGATGGCAGTTTTTTTCTTTTCTTTTTTCCAGTTCTATTGAGAAATAATTGACATACATCACTGTATAAGTTTAAGGCATACAGCAGGATGCTTTGATTTACATATATTGCGAAATGATTACCACAGTAGGTTCAGCTAACATCCATCTTCTCATATAGATACAATAAAAGGAAAAGAAAGAAGAAAAGAAAAAAGGAAAAAGTTTTCTCCTTGTGATGAGAACTCTTAGGATTTACTCTCCTAACAATTTTCCTATATATTATACAGCAGTGGTAGGTATAGTGAGAGATGGCAATTTCATTCTTCTTTACTGGACTAGCCTTACTGCACAGTTTATTAAAACCTGCTTAAAAATAGCCTTCGGAATAAGACAAGAGAAGGGAAAGCCTTTGAAACAATGCAACTGTAGTAGTGAATGAATTTTCATGGCTGAAATAGCTACTTTTACTCAGGTTGGATTAATGAGATCAGACTTGATGTTGCTTTCTAGGTAGAGCACTACCACTAACACACCTCATTTTCTTGACTGCTTTCTGAGTTTTCAAAGTTACTAGGTGGTATTAAAGAACTGACTTTGTATAGTAAGTTCATATGTGGTTCAGTTTTTCATAATTTTCTGCATAGAAAGACATAAAACATGTGTGTACAGTTTAAAGAATAATTATAATGTGAATACTCAGGTAACCTCTGCCCAGATTAAGAAAAATTGCCAGCCTTCCAAAAGCCCCACCCTCACCATGTGCTCCATCCAGATGGCGACCCCCTCTCTCCTCTGGTTTTACTTCTGGCTTTATTGTCTTTACTTCTGTCATTTTCTTTCTTCTCTTTGGAATGTAGTCACTTACATTTGTGTCCTAAAATGATATAATTTAGGTTTGGCTGACTTTGAACTTACATGAATAGAATCATGTTATGTGCTCTCTTGTGTCCGGCATCTGTCACTCATTTCACTTATTTAGCTTGTTACATTTGTGAGATTTTATCTGTGTTATTGGTATCCAGTGCCCTTTTTTAAAAAAGCCTTGGTATATTTGCCTGTCTCCCCTGCCTCGTTTTTTTTTTTTTTTTTTTTAAACTTAGGGTCCCTGTAACTCTAAATGCTTTCTGATATTTCTACTTTGCCTTCATAGATTTCCTGCTAAATGAGGTCTGAAAACTAAAACTTCTGGATCCCAGTTTTCTGAACTGACCTGACTGCACCAAGTTTGATGACATTTGTTTAGATGAGACTACATCTTTAAGGCTTCTGTGCTCGGTTAAAAATCTTCCTTTCTCCAAGGCTGGTCCAAGGGTCTGGTCACGTGATTCCAACGGTGACATCACATTCTGACCGCCAGGGAACACTGGTGGTTCTTTAGGTGGCGTTTGTTCCTGTGAAAGGCAGAGAATGCAGCAAGTGCCCTTCTAAAGCAGTTCAGACAGGGGCTCCTTCTGTAAAAGCTCCTCAACCTAAATGAGCAAATGCGGGCTGCCAAGGTTATTTCTTCCTTGAGGCAGAAAAAAAGAAAGCTGTGATTGAAGGTAAGCAGACTTGAGCCTGGCCAAGGACCGAAGCGTGACCCCAGGGAGAAGGGGATCTGGAGAATCACAAGCAGTCTGTTGTCCGATTCTAATCACTGCCTGCTCTTTTAGAGCTGCCTGACAATTTGCATTTATAATAGGAGACTATCTACAAAGAAGGATGATGCAGTGCTCATGTTACCTAGTGATGTAATAGGATTTTTTCTTTCCTGTTAGGAAGCTTGTTGCAGATCTTCATTTTGTCTTAATATTCTTCCAGCTGGGGGCCTCATTTGATATACAGTGTAACGTTAGGTAACTATTGGGTGCTTTTAAAAATCAGTTTCACAAAATCCTTTGAAAATTTCTCCTGAAAGGAGCACGCTTAAACCAGACCAAATTCAATTGAAGCATTAACCTGCTTTAAAAAGTCAGTTTCTGGTTGGTTGGTGTCCTGTGTTCATGTCAGCATTTGTCTTGAGAATTGAAACAGCTTGGTTCCCCCCTGCCCCACATACTTTAGTCTCTTTCTGCCCTCATTTCCCAGTTGGCTGTTTCCCTCCAAGCTCTCAAACAACGCACCAGCATTAATCTTTATCAGTATGCCACTGACATGATAGGAAATGCTGGGCTGGTGATTAAGCAGCCAACCATTTTATGGCCAGGTATGCTTGAAGATATGGAAGGGACTTTGGTTAGGGGTTTTAAGATTAACTTGTTCATCTCCTCCACTCCACCCCCACCCCACCCCCACCCTTATTATGGTTTGGATTCTGCAGAGCTTTTCCTTTCATGTGTGTGTGTTGCTTGTGAAAGGTATGCTGAACTAGGTATTCAGGAGACTTAGACTTTGTAAACCAGGTGCAACTTGGGTGTTAATTCAAACTTATCCTTTGAGGGTGCTCAAGTTATCTATTAGGAGTTTAGAGTGAAGGTGGGGGTATGGATGGGGGAAGAGGGGGTCAGCTCAGGCCCACTTTGGCCTTCTTCACAGAGGGATTCATCACCAAACAGTCTCGATAGAACTTTGTCCCTGCCAAGGTTGATGCTGCAAATGTGAGCTGTGGCTTGGTTGAGTTCATTGATGGCATTACTCTGCATTTTTCCTCATTGTGCATTTGCATGCATTCCTGAATACGGTTTTACATTTTGTGTTTAATAGTGAAATCTTGTTTCACCAGAGGACTGTGGAAATATTTTGAAGAAGTTTGTTAAGCAATACTAAGGAACCTTGTGTAAGTGCAACTTCTGAGTTTGAACACTCCTCCCTCATCTCAACTGTTCATCAAACAAACTTGGGTTCAGCTGATATTTATTGGGTCGTAGCCAAGTGCTAGACACTGGAAAAGGCAATGGTAAATCAGATAATAGGGCTACCCTCAAAGAGCTTATAGTCTAGAAAAGAAGATAAAGCATTTGCTTAAGTAATTGTAGTAGAAGTGCTAAAAACGAAGCAGGTGAAGGACTGTGATTGTTGGCCAAAAGGATATGTTTCTTCCAGTTGAAGGATCAGGGAGGGACATGTCGTCTCTGAGCCATGCACTTTTCTTTGAATCTCTACTTGGAAATCTTAGACTGTCCTGGCATACTCAGTAAAAGTTTCCACAAACCCATGGCATCAGGAATCAAAGTCTTATATCTATGGAAGGGAAATATGTACATTCCAGCCAGCTTAACTCTAGAAGAGACCTACATGCTTTCTTTGGAGTCCCCACTCAGGCAAAAGCCACCTCTGAGGATGGAATTGCTGCCTTATAAATGTAAAATGGTTTCTGACTTGATTTGTCTGCACAGACCTTTGACCCTTTTGTCTTCATCCTAGAACAGAAATTGAAATACCTAAGCTGCTCCAAGCTCCTGTTTTTTGTTTCACAAATCCTTTCCCACTGAACTTCAACCCCTGCCAATTCTCCCTTTGTACTGTGGCTCTCATACGTCCCTTTCCATTCACACTGCCTCGAGATGCTCATCGTTTTGTGCCTAAGCCACAGAAACTTCTGAATGTGATGGATGTTCCTACCAGGTGATTATTCTGCTCTATCAGCACACCCTAACAGTAGTCATCTGATAGTTTAAGGGCTCACCTCTTGGTGCTCAGAAAAGAGATACTAAAAATGTCCAGAGTGTCTGAAGTATTGATGCCTGTTTTCTGTTCAATCCAGAGGACAAGTCATACAATGGTGGAGGAATAGGTTCTTCAAATAGGATGATGGACTTCTTGGAGGAGCCAATCCCTGGTGTGGGGACCTATGATGATTTCAATACAATTGACTGGGTGAGAGAGAAGTCTCGAGACCGGGATAGGCACCGAGAGGTAAGACAAAAGATGCTTTGTGAGTGAGTGTTAGGAAACTTTAGGAGTAGAAGTTGAAGATATAGATTCTTTATATGTATTCTTTCCCTCAACACTGGATGTGACTGAATCTGTTTTCTGTTGGACATGTAGGGTTTTATTTTTAATATATTTTTAAGGTATCTTGTATATGATTTTGAAAAGAATTTATATTTAATGATGATTTATCTCCTGATAGTAAGTGGTTGAAAAGGATCCTTGGGTATAAATGCCTGTGCAGAGAGGTGAAAACAAAGTTGGTGGGAGGAACCAAATTAAATTTCAAAGATCTTCCTTCCCCATCTCATCTCTCTTTTATGGTTTTCCCTTGAAGCAGGATTTTTACACATAAGAAAAGTAAATGGGCTCTTTTTAAAGGAATAAAAGAAAAAAAAGTCTCAGAGCTGTAGTGTTTACTGAAACTTACAGGGTAAACCCGTGATTATAGCTCTTGTACAACCATAAAACCAAAGCAAATTTATACATTCAACTCACACAGAGCCACAAGACCAATCAAATTCAAATCAATGACATTAATATGATAGGTGATAGATGGTACTTATAGCTATGGCCCAGTTTGTTTTGAATATGACAAGAGAGTCTCCCTACTTTTCTCTTTTCAAAGTACTGTGAAAACTTCTCAGAGCAGTCCGCCAAGGTCATTTGCCTTTAACTTATTGCTGTGTATCATTTAAATCAGGGAATCACAATTTCTAGTTTGTGTCAGGAGCACATAGAGAGCTTATTCAAAAGGTAGTGCCCCAGCCCCAGTCATCCTGTTTCAGCCAACAGTAAGTATGATTATTTTTTGTTTCTTACTATTTCTGCTTTGATTCCAAATTTAAAATTTGATTTTTAAGTTGACTCCATTCTCTCCTAAATTCATGATTTCCTCCTCTTAGACCTGAGTGAATCTCCTGAGCAGTCAGGTTCAGATCACTTTTCATTCCTTTCCGAGCTCCTGACTGGCTTTCTCAAGAGCACCTAAACCCAGGAGTCAGGTTGTCCCAGGTACAGGTTTTGAGAAATTTCTTTGTAGTCCTTGGATTTGTCATAATCCTATAGAGTTTTCTTCTCCTAACTCAAAAAGGTGATCTCTATAAAACATTCTTTTTTTTTTATAAGATTCCTGCTATTTGGGAACATACACACATATTCTTTCTGTTATATCAATTCATCAGGCAGCCTTTAAAATATAGAATCTTACGGCTTTAGAATTTTTGCTATCTGTATTCAGAGTTCAGTTTGTCACCATTTGCTTATTCAACATGTTACTCAGATTGTGAAAGCCACCTGTGGTATGACAAGGGCACATTTCCCGTTATATCAAAATGGTTGCATCTGAGGCACATTGTATCAGCTAATAATAATTTAAAATCAATTAAAATATGTTTATCAAATGTTCAAAGGTGACCTTTTTTAGCATTAACTGTTCATCATCTGAATGGAAACACTGTCATAGGGAAAAGTATCACCTCATCTACTTTCAGCACTTAAATTGGAAACTTAAAGTCATAAGTCAAAATGAAATTTTAAACTGCTTTTAAAATTTTATAATTTATTACTTGTGATGTTACTGCAGATCAAGATGGGGTAGCTAACTTACACTTTCAAAGATAAGAAATAGAGGTACAGGGCTTCCCTGGTGGCGCAGTGGTTGAGGGTCCACCTGCCAATGCAGGGGACACGGGTTCGAACCCCGGTCCGGGAAGATCCCACATGCCACGGAGCAGCTGGGCCCGTGAGCCATGGCCACTGAGCCTGCGCATCCGGAGTCTGTGCTCCGCAACGGGAGAGGCCACAACAGTGATAGGCCTGCGTACCGCAAAAAAAAAAAAAAAAAGAAATAGAGGTACAGAGAAGGGGGAAGTACTAATTACAGAGCTGTTAGAATGCTTGGTTTTGAAGTGTGGGCACTGAAGGGTTAAGTTAACAAGGCTAGAACCTAAAAGGTAAAAGTTTCTGCACCTCTTGAAAGCTGCAGATATTCCCAGCAGGTTTTTGAAAATGAAAGAGATCATCCCTGATATCATTTAGCATCTGTGATCACTGTACAGTAAGAGGTTTGTGGTATCAAGTCTTGGAATTTGCCTGACCTGAAGCACAGCCCCAGGTAGAAAACCACAAATTGTACTTTTAACCCCTCAAATAAGCCCATGTTTGTTTATTCTTTGAAACACAATCAAACTATTTGTTGTGAGTCAAGAGACCATCTTTGGACTGTCTGATGTCCAGGCTAGAAAGAGACCGCTGCAATAAGCAAAACAGATTGATATTATAAGAATTTAGCAGCTAATAGGGAAGTCCTGAATAAGGTACTTGCAGACATTGCAATACTGGAGATGGTGGGTTCAGTAAGACAGGGTTCAATAAAGCTCAAAGTTCGCGGTGGCGTTGGTTCAGCCAGAGATTTGAGAAGTAACTCTAAATTGGACTCTATTCCCAATGAATAGGTTTGTCTTTGTGTTTCTTTATTGCACATTTTGAGGTAAAAAAGCAAGAGTGTGCATAGAATGTATCAATGTTTTCTCATTTCTCCCTAGATTACCAATAAAAGCAAGGAGTCAACATGGGCCTTAATTCACAGTGTGAGCGATGCTTTTTCTGGCTGGTTGTTGATGCTACTTATTGGGCTTTTATCAGGTATGGTAAACCATGTTAGCTTTCTAAACAAATCTCCTAAAATTGTGGTGTGCCCCTCTCCCAAGTCATAAACTGAATTGAATACTGTGCTTTACTGTTTTCCTATGTGAACGGAATTGCTCGTGGACCTTTGGGAAGCTTGATGTCCCCGTCTATAAAGAGGTAGTGATACCTCATCTCCTTCCCTAAATAAATGAGGTTAAATGAGGAAATGCATTTAAGTGCATTTGTATGCTATAACATATTGTATCCATTTTAAGGTGCTGTTAGTACTGCCTTTTGGTGCTTGTCTTGAGGAAGAACCTTTCTATTAGAGACAGGGGTTTTTTTTTTTGTTTTTGGTTTTTTACTGTGCCGCATGGCTTGTAGGATCTTGATCCCCAACCAGGGATTGAACCCGTGCCCTAGCAGTGAAAGCACTGAGTCCTAACCACTGGACAGCCAGGGAATTCCCCCCCCTTTTTTTTTAACATATTAGTAAGCATGGGGTTTAGGAAAAAACATGTTGAAGAGGACTTCCTGAGAGATTTTTGTAGCTATTTCTTAAATATCTACTCTCTCATTTGGGAGTAAAGAAAAGCATGTAAGATGTGGCTCATACCCTTAGGGGGCCTAAATTCTTACTCTTTCTTGGTGGCCGAGGGCTGGGATGGTACCACCTTTTCCAGTCTTCTCCATCAACCTCCTAAGCCACTCCAAATAATATATAATCTTAACCACGAATAGCACACTTGCTATGCAATACAGCTTTAAAGCAGGTTCCCAAGCAGGCTTCCCCTCCCATGGGGAAAGCAGAAAGCCAAGAATACCAGGCAGAGATGCTGAGACTTATATCCTTGTGGCATTAGAAGATGGGCCTAGGAAGATTTAGAATATTGAGCTAAAATAAAAGGTGGGAAATTGGATGGCGGTTGGGATGGAATGGTAGTTAATAGCACAGGCTCTAGTTTATGGCTACCTGGATTTGAATCCCAGCCCCACCACTTGCTAGTTTTGTGACTTCAGGCAATTTTCTTAACCCTTGGAAGTTTTAGTTTACTGACTTGTAAAATGGGGATAAGAGTACCTATATTACAAGTTTGTTGCGAGAATTGAATGCAATACAGCACTCAACACAGTGCCCAGTTGTTCACAATGCTGCTGTTACCTAGAGATAATTCATGAGCCATGGAGTATAAAATGATCGCAGCAAATGAGAAATGGTTCATCCATAGCAGAGTTTTCAAAGATTATCTGGGCCAGGGGTCAGCAAGCCTTTTCTGTAAAGGGCCAGATAGTAAATATTTTAGGATTTGTGGGCCAAATTGTCTGTATAGCAAGAACGTAGCCATAGAAAGTAGGAAAATAAACGAGCTGGACTGTGACCAAGAAAAACTCTATTTAAAAACACAGAGGCAGATTTGACCCTCGGGCCATAGTTTGCCAACCCATGGTCTAGGGTGTTAATGCTGTCCTTTTTCTGGCTCGCAAAGAAGAGAGATGTGGTCTGGACAATTTAGAGCTGGCTCATAATAGACTGAGTGGTCTGTAATGTCAAGTATTGCACAGTAGCTGACGAGAAGGAAGGGGGCTGAGAAAAGGTTATGTAGTTTAGCAGTTAGGAGGATACCAGTGACCTTGAAAAAGCATCTCAGATAAATATTAGGAGCCAGATTTCTTTTTTTTTTTTTTCTTGGCTGCACTACGCGGCTTACAGAATCTTAGTTCCCCTACCAAGGATCGAACCCAGGCCCCTGCAGTGAAAGCGCCGAGTTCTAACCACTGGATCACCAGGGAGTACCCAGGAACCAAATTTCAAAGGAAGGCAACCATTGTAGAAGTTTTGGGGATACTGGGTAGTCACTGGAAGGAGAGAAGGGACAGAAGCTTGAAATGGTAGCATAGACAAGGGGAAGCATTTCATTCTTTAGGGTAGGGGAAACCTGCTAATATTTGTAACCAGGGAGGAAAGAGCCAATTGGGAAAAGAAGGAGAAGGAGATGTAGACGGGAAGATAGGATGGAGGGTACCAGTGTTAGGTAGAATAAGACATGCACACGTGAAACAACCAGAGAATTAGCCAAACTCTTTTTTTTTTTTTTTTTTTTTTTTTTTTTTTTGGTACGCGGGCCTCTCCCCGCTGTGGCCTCTCCCGTTGCGGAGCACAGGCTCCGGACATGCAGGCTCAGCGGCCATGGCTCACGGGTCCAGCCGCTCTGCGGTATGTGGGATCTTCCCGGACCGGGGCACGAACCCGTGTCCCCTGCATCGGCAGGCGGACTCCCAACCACTGCGCCACCAGGGAAGCCCTAGCCAAACTCTTTAACATCGTGTTAGTTTTCTGAATCCAGGCAGTAAGTGCAATAGGAGTTAGAAGGAAGAGATGGCGGGAACTGGAGTGGCCAAGAGTAGGTGTCAAACAATTTGTTAGATTTGACTAGGTTATTCAAATGTGTAAATAACCAAGAGAGTGTGTTAACACTCTTAGCACCTACCAAAACATACACATGACATGGCTTCCAGCCTGTTGGAATGTAGGTGTAATATCCTCAACTTTTTAATGTATGTCTTGTCACTAGGTGGTCAGTGAATATTTTTCTTTCCCTCATACACACAGGGTATTTTGTTTTCAAGCATTGGAGAGCAACAATAGAAGCAGTGTGTCAGAATGCAGGAACAGTCTGGGAATTCAGGGGCTGTGAATTTTATGATGTCTTTGCTATTTCCCTAAAGCATGATTCTAGACCATTTAATTTCTTTATGCCAGCGTTTCGTCATCTGGACAGCAGAAATGATGAGAAGGGCAGAATTGAAAGTACTATAACTATTTTAACCCTATCAGTCTATTAGCCGCAGTACATTAGTCCCCATTCATTTTCTCATAATTTTCTTTGAGGAACGTTCTGTATAAAATATTATTTGCTCCTTGTCACTAAGAAAACTTCAGAATGTTCACATCCTAGGCTCAGGAGGCTTCAGCCTACCTACAGCTTCATCTAATCTTCCATGTACATCACAGTTTGTGCTTTTATAACTTGAGTTCCCTTAGCCTAGAATGCCTTCCTGCCACCACTCAAATTCCCTCGCTGCTGGAGCCAAATCGATATGGAGACTGAGCCCTTTTCCTCATAGTGTTCATCAACTGCCCTTGGCAAGCCATCTCAAATAAATATCATATAATATTCTTCAACATGGGCAATTCACATTTTCTCAGTTTTATGTATAAAGTGAGAATAAAATAAACTTTAAGAAACTTGACCATCTTTATGGATCAGTATTCATCAACTCTAAGTCAAAGCAGAGTCTTTGCCAGGGGAAGCAGCTAAAAGTCAAATCCACTCACCCCTTGCTCCCACCCAACCACCTTGCTCTCCTCTAAGTTTCCCATATACAATAAAGATCCTGCACACACAGTGTTTAATGCAGACAATGTTGTTGTTGTTATTTTTTCCCCTCTTGAACAGGCATTTAATAACAGGTAAAATCCATTAGAGATAAAAGGTGAAAAGCAAGCAGACAGACAATCAGAAGGAGGTTGCAGATGGAATGAGAAAGTATATACTTGTCCATTATTTTGATTCCTTTTCCCTTATTTTCTCTGACAACTGTGGCCTTTCCTTCCCTCCCCTCAAATCAGGTTCCCTTGCTGGCTTGATAGACATCTCTGCTCACTGGATGACAGATTTAAAAGAAGGTATATGCACAGGGGGAATCTGGTTTAACCATGAACACTGTTGCTGGAACTCCCAGCACGTCACCTTTGAAGACAGAGACAAATGCCCAGAGTGGAATAGCTGGTCCCAGCTTATCATCAGCACGAATGAGGTAACACGTAGTGAAGATTTCTGAACCACTGATTTAATTATTCTTACATTTACTTCATTTCTTATACTGTCCCTGTGGCAAATGTGAAATCTTCCTTTATTTTCCTTTTCATGAAAAGGGGAACCAGTGCCAGCTGCCTTTCTCTGTGGTTTAAGTGCAGTCCTATTTCTATCTCTTCTGACATGTGGAGTTTTTTGATGCTTACACAACAACTTAAAATGTTTTGCTTGTTTTAAACAAGCCTGATGTTTCTTCTTAGTTGTTAGTACACCGTGTGACTGAATCTTTCTCTAGTTATTTCCGTAGAAATGTCAGAGTCAGCCAACAGGTAAGCTATAATTTCTAACAAAGGATGGAACGGGTTAAAAATGTGTTTAAGCGATTTTTCCCTGAGCATTGCATTAGAATATTAAAAAAAATTATGATACATTCCATAGCAAAATAACAGAAACCCAGGAATAAAATTGCCCATACATTTTGAGATTAAATTAAAATGTTCATTTGTCATTGTCTTTTAGCATATCTTTTTGAATGTAAAAGTAACTTTGTTTTTTGGTTCCTTACCTTTCTCTTACCATTTGGTTTGTATGTTAGATCTCTCCTACTAAACACGAAAGCACACAAAACAACTCTCAACTCCCAATTCCACTCTGGCTTCCACCAACTAAAACAGGTACTATCTCAGCTCACTCCTCATCTACTCTGTTGGTAAAGTGAGGGGGACAAGACTAGGATGTTTGTTTGTACTTTTAAAATTTATTTTTATACCTACTTTGGTCCACAAACAATTTGAGATGGCACACCCCCCCACAGATTCAGTGAAGGTAAAAGAAGGATAAGAAAATAATAAAGTCAGAAATAAGAGTGTTTATGTACATATATCTGACTGTGCATATTGGCTTGTGTTACCTACATACTATATGTGTGAGAGGGTTTAAGTCTGTGCTTCTCAGACTGGGGTTAGGTCAGCGTACCAGAGGGTATGTGAAACCTCAGGATACATGCTATGTGCTTTCCCAGAATATCAGTTTTTCCTGATCAGTATTTGGAAGAAAATTTTTTCAAAAATTAAATGTAAACAATCATTAAAAAGGAATGCAAAAGTCCTATGTTTAAGATAAAACAGAATATCTATTTCAGCTCTGCTCTGGGTACCCCACCCCCTATCCTCACTCCTAGATTAGGAGTATGTACTTGGGTTGAAAAATTTGAGAAGCTCCGGATTTAGGGTGAGTGTGTGTGTGTGTGTGTGTGTGTGTGTGTGTGTGTGTGTGTAGTTCTCCACAGTTTTAGCACATGTGTAGATTTGTGTAGCCACCACCACAATCAAGATGTAGAACTACTGTTCCATTACAACAAGGCTCCCCCATGCTACTCCTTGAGAGCTGCGTGCATGTGTTTAAGTGTTCCAACCATAACTTTCAAACTGGAGCCGGAGATTTGCACAAGTGACAACTTTCTCTGGCCCTCCTTTTAATGAATGAAATTCTTGCCTGGGGAAAGAG